AGCCATATAATGAACTAATACTCAATTTCCTACTACACTGTTAACTATGAAACTTAACTAATTTTAATCTTTCCCTTTTTCCTCTCCTTGTCTCTTTTTCAGTTATAAACCAATCAGCCTTCAAACTCCACATTCCCTGGCTCTCATTTCTCATTCTCAGTCTAACTTCAAGTTAACTTTTCTTATTCTATGCATCTGTGTATCTCCTACTCACTCATCAAACTAATCTTTTTCCATGTTCTATGTAACTATTCTATGGAACTTATACTCTATTAAAAAAACTTTTTCCTAAGTCAGTAGGGACTTTTTTTTAAAGTGTTCAATCCAATGGATATTTTGACACCTTGCTTTACTCGGCCTTTTTAGGGTGCTGTTAACCACCCTATCCTTAGTGCTAACTTGGTTTCCATGCCCACCACTGTTGTCTTCTTTTTTTTTGAGACAGAGTTTTACTCTTATTGCCCAGGCTGGAGTGCAGTGGCATGATCTCAACTCACTGCAACCTCCACCTCCTGGGTTCAAGCCATTATCTCGTCTCAGCCTCCCAAGTAGCTGGGATTACAAGCCCCCAGCACCATGCCCAGCTAATTTTTGTATTTTTAGTAGAGAAGACATTTCACCATGTTGGCCAAGCTCGTCTCAAACTCTCGACCCTCAGGTGATCCGCCTGCCTTGGCCTCCCAAAGTGCTGGGATTACAGGTGTGAGCCACCATATCCAGCGACCACCACTGTCTTAGTTTGCATGTCCATACTTCATAGGCATTCTTCTTCAACAAAAGCCCCCTGTATGATGCTGGTATCCCAGGTCTTTGTCCTGAGTCAAGTTCACCTCTCCTTAAAGGAACTTATTTAATAATGTGGCTTCTATTACGACCAATATACTGAAGAATTTCAAACTAATCTCTCACCTAGTTCATTTTGAGCTCAAGACTCACACATAAAACTGTCTGCTAGTCATGGATCATCCAAGTGAAAAATAGAACCCTCAACCTTAGCATATCTAAAACTAGCCTCAGAATCTAACTTTCCCTTCAAACTTGCCCTATTCACCATTTACCTGTGGCCTAACTCAGAAAACCTAGGTGTCAGAAAGCTTACCTGTTCTGCAGAGGATGTTTAATATAGTGTTCTGGATTTGCGACCTCCTGATTAGATTCTGGTTTTTCCTCTTCTGTAGCCGGGGGATTAGGAGTAGGAGTGGTTTCCTAGTAGACAATATAAAACATTATTTTAAATTTCTTAACACATCTATGACAGCAATATTCTAATTAAACCTGAACTGACATGCTGACAATATTTTTTAAGAATTAGAGCAGATTGCTTCATAAAACAGACCATAGGCCAACCTCTAAAGAAACATTCTCTATTCCTGTATCTCTTCATTAAGAGGAAAGGATTTCTCAAACTGGAAAATATAATAGTATCTATGGTTATCCTTCCACTTGTACTTTTTTTTTTAATAGCAGGAAGACTGTCACAGATTATGCAACAAAGTTAGGAAAATCTGCTACCTTTCTTAACATACCATCTCATTAAGAAACTGTATATGGCATTGAAGGGGATATCAGGATGGATAGAGGATTAAAACTAAAGTTTCAAGAGTATAATAACTATATCACTGGGCACCGTGGCGCATGCCTATAATCCCAGCTACTCAGGAGACTGAAATAGGAGGATTGCTTGAGCCCAGAAGTTTGATACTAGCCTGGGCAACACAGCAAGACCCTGTTTCAAAAACAAACAAACAAAACAAAACTATATTATGATGACAAAATAAGCTTTGTAAAGTGATCAAGCCAATGATATGCTGGTCTTGCCTTCATGGCATACTGTTTACCCTATGGTAACCTAAAAGTTCAGCAACTTAACATTTTCAATGGACTCTAAGATGATGGACATTGGTTTGAACTTAAATCTTCTTTTAGGCTACGCATAATTAACACTGTCATCTATCAGGAAGAAAAGGAAAATAGTAATTTAAAATAGGTGTTCACCACATTCTTCCATGTAGCTTTTCACACTACAATAAATTGTTGTCACCAGAACAAGACAGCCATAGAAAGGCATTAGGACGAAGACTAATACAAAAAAAAGGCGGCAATGCAACAAGTGTCTGGATATCAGATTTACTGAAGCAGCAAACAAAAGTTAGAGATATATGTTAACGTAACAAGATATGTAGTCAAATATTTATTATCCAAAAGACCTCAGAGTAGATAGGTAAATTCTCTTAAATTTACTCATAAACTCAAAATCCTCACTATAAACCATACTTTTGCAACACTTATTTAAACCTTTTTCCTCAGCAGCACATAAATAGTGAATTACAATATGATTAATTACAAGTTTCATGGAGTCCAAAACATCATTTTAAAACTAATTTAGTTCTTTCTCTTTTCTATTATTCCATTCTTTTCATTCTTGGGGAAATGATGGAATACTAACATGGTATCAAATCTTTGGACATACAGAAACTAAAAGTAAATAATCACTCAGGAAAAACATATTCAGTTCCTAGAATTTTAAAAGTGTTATTTTGAATTAAAATTCTCACTTTAAGTAATTGATACTATAGTCTTCATATTAAGAACACATTATTTTGTACTTTTCCAACAACTTTAAAAAGCTACACATTTTTAAATGTGTGTATGTACAAATCAATAAGTATACTAATTTAAAATCTCTAATCTTCACTTATATAGATAGATTATGAAACAAATGATCTATAACACCATAAAAATTTTTAATAGCCACAGTCATCTTTTCATATCATCTATTTGGGAACTAAAAAATATTTCAAGGAACAAATTCTATTTTAAGATGTATAACCTTATTTTTAAGGTTGCTTCCTATAGACACTTAAAAAGTTTTAAGTTGACCGGGCGCGGTGGCTCAAGCCTGTAATCCCAGCACTTTGGGAGGCCGAGGCAGGTGGATCACGAGGTCGAGAGATCAAGACCATCCTGGTCAACACGGTGAAACCCCGTTTCTACTAAAAATACAAAAAATTAGCTGGGCATGGTGGCGTGTGCCTGTAGTCCCAGCTACTCAGGAGGCTGAGGCAGGAGAATTGCCTGAACCCAGGAGGCGGAGGTTGCGGTGAGCCGAGATCGCGCCATTGCACTCCAGCCTGGGTAACAAGAGCGAAACTCCGTCTCAAAAAAAAAAAAAAAAAAAAAAAAAGTTTTAAGTTTACATTCAGTTTAATAACAAAATTCGGCTGGGAGGTGGCTCACACCTGTAATCCCAGTACTTTCGGAGGTCCAGTACTCTTGCTCATGCCTGTAATCCCAGTACTTTGGGAGGCTGAGGTGGGTGGGTGACTTGAGGTTAGGAGATCAAGACCAGACTGGCGAACCTGCTGAAACCCCATCTCTACTAAAAATAAAAACATTAGCCAGGCATGGTGGCAGGCAACTGTAATCCCAGCTACTAGGGAGGCTGAGGCAGGAGAATCGCTTGAACCCGGGAGGCAAAGGTTGCATGCAGTGAGCCAAGATCAAGCCATTGCACTCCAGCCTGGGGAACAAGAGCAAGACTTACACCTCAAAAATAAAATAAAATAAAATAAAAATACTTCAAAATCCTACCATATTTCCCTCTCTGATCTCTCAGGCTGGTGTTCTCTCAATGAGAAAATTTCACTGGAAATTACATCCTAAATGATCAACCTCAGGTTCTATCGGGGAATTTAAAATTAAAAAAAAAAAGGAAAAAAAATTAAATGACCAATATTTCTAGGTTTATAAACTACCTGGACAAAAAAGTAAAGGCTAATTTAGCAGATTATGGCTAACTCAGAGTAATCAAACACATTTTTAAACTAAAATAGACAATCTTCCCTTGAAAAAGCACTGTGTAACATACTTTAGGTGAGAACATGGTATAAGAGTGAGGCCATGGATGGTGCTATGTTCATCCAGATAGTAACCAGTGTGGCTGAAAGAGAAAGTTTATGCAAGGGAAGAGCTAGAATGGTAGGTTGGAGTGAGATTGGTAAAGGCCTCAGAGGTCAGGCTAAAAGTGTACCTTTCATCTTGGGGGGATCAGAGAGATTAAATCCAAATGGCAAGAGAACAAAAGATCAATTTAAGAGCAAAGTATTAAACCTGGTTTTAGATTTGCTGAGTTTATCAACTTCAAATAAAAATGTTCAGTATTAAAATTTAGCAAACCCAGGGCTGAATAAACTGTCATAGCAACAAAAGAAAGTTGAAAGGGAAGAAAAAAAGACAAGCAAGGGCGAGAAACCTCTAACAATTAGCTGCCAAGAATGTCAGGTAGCTTTTTACTACATTCTGCAAAATTAGCACAGGTATAATATTAATCTTATGGGACAATCCTAATATTATAGAGGCAAATATTTCCCAGGTCTAGCATCATTCTGTGGTGTCTTCAATAAATCTGACTAAATTTTAGATTCTCCTCACCATGTTCAAATCCACATTGCTTAAATTCCAAAACCGTGATGTGCTTTTCCACGGTTTTGAACATTTAAGATTTCTCAGCAACTCTCAACCCAAATACACATAAGAACTATCTATTTACTCGCAGGAATTTCCAAAAAATTTTTTCCAGGTTAAGACAAATCACCTGACACCTTATTTGAAGTATATAATAATCATTAGTCCCCCTGGGAACTAATAATGGTTTGAACTAGTAACTCGAAGTATAGTCCACAGATAATCCACAGACTACTACTGCTGGTCCACAAACTGGTCATGGTTGACAGTGAGGTTAAGTATAGACATGCAAAGTAAAATGTGTAGCAATTTGACAATTTTATATCTGCTGAAACTAATCAAATTCAGGCTTACATTCTGTATGCATGTCTTCATGTTTATCATTTTACAAAAGTATTATATTAGAAATTTTTTTAAAAGGCCATGCATGGTGGCTCATCCCTGTAATCCCAACACCTTCGGAGGCCAAAGCAGGAGGATCTCTTGAGCCCAGGAGGCCAAAACAGGAAAATCACTTGAGCCCAAAAGTTCAAAGGCTGTAGTGAGCTATGATAGCACCACTGCACTCCAGCCTGGGCAACACAGTAAGACGCTGTCTCTAAAAAATTAAATTAAAATTAAAAAACAAACACAAACCAGTTTGTCACCAGAATATGAGATGCAATAATTCAAATCACACCCTCTAGAACCATGTTACCCATGTTGGAATCCCAGCTCTGCTATTCACAGTTGTAAAATTCAGAGCAAGTAACTTCCGTGGCCTCAATTTCCTCATCTTAAAATGGGCACTGTGACATTTATCTCCAAGGATAACTAGGGATTAAATGAATTAAAAAATAAAAGCATTTAAAGTGTCTGGTACATGGGAAAAACAAAATAAGAATTGATTTTTTTAAAAGTAGCTAAAAATTTTAACTGTATGGTTACCTGGCTTTCCATTCATTCATTCACAGCAAACTGTATGGCCAGACACTATGATGAGTTGTTATATGATTTTAGAAAGAAATTTTTTTAAATTATATTTATCACTTTCTTCCTTCCTACATTCTTTCTGATATATGTAGAGATAGATATTCCTCCCAGAACAATAATGATTTATGACAATATAAAGTCATTTTAAAGTAACATTCAAGTGAGGAAACCTACCTTTCTTACTTTAAAGCTACTCCCAGATACCGTATTTCCCCTTTTCTGTACTGAAGGCATCATATCCTTGCCTCATTCCCCATACTCTTGGCCTCAATGAATTAATGAATGGCTACAATGTACCATTGAGCTGAACTATTTATTACCAAGCAACAGCATTAAGGACATTGAAATCAAGTATCAAAATAAGGCACAAAAAAGGGGCTAGAGGAAGAAAGAAATTCTACATCAGCACATTTATTCACATACCATCTTTTGTGCTTCCAAATAATGCTGCAACTGACAGTCTGTATATACCAGGCGGGGACTTCACTACTACAGTTTTTCTCTGATAATAGAAAGAGCAATCCCAGGTTTACCAATCTCTGATGCACTAGGAGGCAATACTACAAAATGGGTAAAAGCCAAAGCTCAACAACACAGCCTGGATTCACCTCTAATCCCTGTTTGATGAGTCCTGTAAGTATGCATGATAGGAGAAAATTTTCAAAGAATAGGGATTGTTTAAGTGATCCTTAGGGTAAGCCCTTAAAACCCCTTAAGGAGCAGTTTCTTCACTTGTAAAAGTGCTGTGTGGGTTTTCAGCAACAATCCAAGAATTTGGCACTTAAGTGATCAATAACTGTCAGCTATCATTAGCAATCAGTACTTGAGATGATTTTAATTTAAAAGTTTACTAGCTGGGTGTGGTGGCTCACGCCTGTAATCCAAGCACTTTGGAGGCTAAGGCGGGCGGATCACCTGAGGTCGGGAGTTCAAGACCAGCCTGACCAACACGGTGAAACCCCGTCTTTATTAAAAAAAAAAAAAAAAAAAAATTATTAAAAAAAAGAAAAAGTTTACTAAGAGCTGAGTAAATGTAGCATACTGAACCAGACTTCAAACTCTGGAGGAGGTTTGGCTAGTCCTTTAAATTTTAAGATGAAGAAAATATTTTAAGAACAATAGAAGATAAATCACTAACATTCATATCCCAGTAATATACTAAAGCGTAAGTGGTAACCTAAACTGCCTGGACTATGTTCTCTGAATTACTGTCCTGGCTCATTAACTTCTCCTATCTACCCTCAAATCCTTACACCAGACACCAGACCTTCCCCACATTCACCCCACCCCCAATCATACACACAGTTAAGCGTGGATATGAAAAGAGAAAGAACTAGTGATTAACTTAGAAATAACTACCCAGATGACTGTTACCACACCCAAATAATTCTGATACCAACACTCTCCCCCTTCCTGATGACACAAAATAAATGTGTACACTCAAGGCTACAGCACCAAATAATGAATAACAATGTGATTGGTAAGCCATATCTACTAGCACTTCCTTGTATTCCCCCTTCCTTGCTTCACTTTCTGTAGCTGAATTGGAAAGACCATCTGTGTCCATATTAGAAATGTAAATGCTACATATGGCAAAGACAGCTGCAATTATTTCTACAAGGTACTAACACAATATTCCAGTAAATTGAAGGCACTATATTAAATAAAGGTATGAAACAATGGGCAGGATAGGCATAGTAAGAACAGAAAAGGCGGGTGCTTTCTGATTTTGACAAGCTCACACCTCATCCAAACTATGAGTTTTTACTTGATAGGTAGCATTTACCAAGCAGTGACTATCAGGCCATGTGCTACATATTTTCATATGTATTATCTCAATATATCATAAATCATCTCAATATAGTCAATCTTCACAATCCCTATGAAACAACTATTATTGTCTCCACTCTTCAGATAAAAAACCAAGCCCTAGAAAAATAAACATGTCATTTAAATCCAGGACTACCATGGTTTACAGCTACAAATACCACATGTCCTAATTCTACCTGTTTGTTGTATCAGTATAATTGTTACTAGAACTCGCATTCACTCTCAAAGGTGTCCAGGACTGAATAAATTATATGGTTACAAAGATTCTTTCTAGGCAACATAACCCTATAATATACATTGTGCTCTGCACTACAGCTTCAGGCTCAATACTTTTGCTCATCCTGCCAATGCCATGTCACTGCCAATAAACTAGTAAAAAACGCATGAATGGTACACCTCACCTTTCCTCCCAGACACACAGAAAAATTCCACTACCAGAAAAAAAAAGCAACTATATATTGAGTTTATATTATTATGCAAAACAGGACACTAAATACCTCTTGGTCAAATATCTCACACACGCACAGGTTAAGTGTAAGTAAAAGCCTCTTTTACTTACACTTTTAACTCTTTAACTCTTTTAAAGTTACTTACAAGTAACTTTAATGAGAACATTAATATGTAATGTTCTCAAATACAAATAGGTAAACAAACTTCATACTTTTCTGTTCCTTCTAGTATCCACTCAGTTCTCGGTTTTGTCATTTATTTGACATATTAAATCAGGCACAGAAATGTATACAACCACATAAAAAGAATCACATTATCCCACCTGAAGACACAGCAATGGTCAAAAATTAAATGTAAACTGGACCCCAGGATTTAATGCAAAAAACATCCTGTACAGAAAAGTTTCAGGCTTCTAACTTCACTGAATCCAGTACTAAGTATTCTTTATATTCCTCAGCTTCTTCCAAGTCTTTTTCACTTTCTAACATCTGCCAAAGAATGGTATATGCAGCTTCCAACCTGTGCTGGCAATCAAGCTTATCATCTGGGATTCTAGCAGGATTTCTGCCTGTTTTTTAATGGCATAATTTTCATCATCTTCAGCTCTCATTTTTTCTTTCCTTCTTGTTGTTTTCCTTCTTTTTCATATATCAGTTTTTCTTTTTCTTTTCTTTTAGACAAGAGTCTCGCTCTGCTGTCAGGCTAGAATGCAGTGGCGTCATCTTGGCTTACTGCAACCTCCGTCTCCTGGGTTCAAGTAATTCTCCTGCCTGAGCCTCTAGAGTAGCTGGGACTACAGGCACACCCCACCATGCCAAACTAATTTTTGTTATTTTTAGTAGAGACAGGGTTTCACCATGCTGACCAGGCTGATCTTGAACTACTGAGCTCGTGATCTGCCCACCTCAGCCTCCCAAAGTGCTAGGATTAGAGGTGTGAGCCACCGCGCCTAGCCACAGCACTTTTTCTTTGACCAGTTGCTTCACCACAGGAGTCTTAATTTGTCTCAGGCCAGGATCAGCCATGGTCCCACAGGCACCATGAGAAGGGACGGACAGAGAGCCAGGGTAGCCATGAAGGAGGCGAGGAGGCTGCCAGTCCTCAGTTCTTTTCAACAAACCATGTATTTCCTCACAGCACCCTCCCATACATAAAGTAGTGTAATTAATTAACTAGTACACAAGAACAAATATAGTCTCACCACTTGTCTTGTAAGGAATAAAAAATTTGGTGAGAACACTGAAAAATTGCCTCAGATAATTAAACTGTTTTGGTTTTTAGTTTTCGAATATATATGGTAAAAAAAAAAAAATACCAGCTAATATGGCATCACCCATGGAAGTGTGGCTGTGGATTTTGCAGGTCTTCTTCCTTATCTGTAATAAAGGATCAACACTATGACTTTGGTACACCTCCCTTAACCTAGAAAGTTGAGGCAGAAAAGTAACACACGGAGATTTAGCAAAATACATATCTTTAAACATTAAAACATTGCTCACGTGGAAAATTTTTTCATGTAAAAGAACCTGAGACATCATATATCAATTATGATTCAAAAGACAGTACTTCTTAATGTGCTTTTCAATTAATATAAAATGGCATCTAATCAATAATAAAAAATCACTATTAGCTGGGTGACTAAAGGAAAGAGTTGTGATGATGTGTACAAATTGTGCAGTGTCCAAAAATACTATAAAAATTCAGCAGCTGTTTGCTCTATTTAAATAATCTAATTATTTAATCAAAATTAATAAGTAGCACTAAACTCATGAGTGAATGGAGCTGATTAAGTTTGTAGGGCTATAGCTAAAGATTTATATTTCTGAATACTCAGCAAGCCATACTTAAACATATTTTATTAATTAAAAAAAATCCCAAGAGTCCACACTTGCATTTCTGATCTTCAAATAAACAATTTTAAAACTTGGATGCATTCTTTTTGAGACAGATTCTCACTCTGTCACACAGGTTGGGATGCAGTGGCACAATTTCAGCTCACCGCAACCTCTGCCTCTCAGGTTCAAGTGATTCTCCTGCCTCAGCCTCCCGAGTGGCTGGAACTGCAATGCCTGGCTAATTTTTTTGTATTTTTAGTAGATGGGGGTTTCACCACATTGGCCAGGTTGGTCTTGAACTCCTGACCTCAAGTGATCCACCCACATTGGCTTCCTAAAGTGAGTGAGCCACCCTACCTGTCTCTTTTAGATACCAAGGTTTTAAAATCACCTTTCAAAAGAAAATATTTTGAAGAAATACATTTCTTAAAAAAAAATGTACAAAACCAGGTATAGTCAGTTTCATATGTCCCCAAAACTAGAGTATGTAACCTTCTATTTACCTAGTTTAAGTTAATGAACTATCAAGCTTCCAAACGTAAAAGTATCTACTAAGTTTCGAGTTAAAGCTAAATGAGAAAACAGAAAAACTATAAAATTAAAATAAAAAGATCTACATTATTTAACCCAGTAATTAGACTTCTGAGAAACAATATATCCATCAACAGATATAACCAAAAGGTAACAGATAAACCACGGCATTTATGATGCAAGCACTAAACATGTTTGTAAAAATTACTTTAAAACTAATATAAATGTGAGCCAGGCACAGTGGCTCATGCCTGTAATCCCAGCACTTTGGGAGGCAGAGGTGAGCAAATCACCTGAGGTCAGGAGTTCAAGATCAGCCTGGCCAATATGGGGAAACCCTGTCTCTACTAAAAATACAAAAAGTTAGCCGGGCGTGGTGGCGGGTGCCCGTAATTCCAGGTACTTGGGAGGCTGAAGCAGAAGAATCACTTGAACCCAGGAGGCAGAGGTTGCAGTGAGCCAAGATGGTGCCATTGCACTCCAGCCTAGGCAACAAGAGTGAAACTCCACCTCAAAAAACAAACAAACAAACCAAAAAATAAACCCCACTAATATAAATGTGAAGAAAAGCAGATTATAGAACCATATAAAAAATTAGCACCGTTTTTTTGCTTTTGACCTATTTTAAGAAGTCCTAAATAAACTGTAGTGCATCCAGACAATGAAACATTACTGAGAGCTAAAATAAAATGAGTTATCAAGCCATAAAGAGACACAGAAGGAACTTAAATGCACATAACTAAGTGAAAAAAGCTAAAATGAAATGGCTACATACTGTATGATCCCAACTCTGTGACATTCTAGAAAAGACAAAAAGATCAGTGGTTGATGGAGAGAATATAAACAAGCAGAACAGAGGGGATTTATTTTTAGGGCAGTAAAATCATTCTGTATGATATTATAACGGTAGATACATGTCATTATACATTTGACAAAACCCACAGAATATACAACATCAAGAGTGAACCCTAACGTCAAGTATAAACTTGGGTGACAATAATGTCAATTTAGGTTCATCAATTCTAACAAATGTGCCATTCCGCTGCAGGATGCTGATAGTGGGAAAGCTGTGCCTGCACCGGGGCGAAGAGTAAGTTATGGGAACTCTGTATTTTCTGCTCAATTTTTCTCTGAACCTAAAACTGCTCTAAGAAAATTAAGTAGTTAGTTAGTTTTTGAGACAGGGTCTCACTCTGATGCCCAGGCTGGATCATGGGGACACAATCACAGCTCACTGCAGTCTGGACCTCCAGGGCTCAATCAATCCTCCTGCCTCAGCCTCCTGAGTAGCTGGGACTACAGGTGCATGCCACCACACCCAGCTAGTTTTTTGTATTAATAATTTTAGTAAAGACAGTGTTTCACCATGTTGCCTAGACTGGTCTTGAGCTCCTGGGCCTGAGCAATGCACCCGCGTCAGCTGGGATTTCAGGCATAAGCTACTGCACCCAGCAGAAAATTAAGTATTTAAAGGCAGGGTGGGGTGCGGGGTGGGTACGAAGAGATATATGGTAAAAAATTTTTTAAAAAAGTTCACAAACAAGTGAACCCAAATATCACCTGAGAACACCTGGTTGTTGAGATTACAGTTTTCACACTATCTACTAACTGTTCCAAATGTAATATAACAGTTACATTAAAGCCCAAATATACATCTGAAACTATTCCAAGACTGTTCAGTGTATTCCAATAATCTGCACATCCCCTTCTGTGCCAATATATTTTTGTAAATTACTTTTCTTTTTTTTTTGAGACAGAGTCTTGCTCTGTCTCCCAGGCTGGAGTGCAATGGCGCTATCTTGGCTCACTGCAACCTCTGCCTCGTGGGTTCAAACAATTCTCCTGCCTCAGCCTCACAAGTAGCTGAGATTACAGGCACCCGCCACCACACTCACCTATTTTTTGTATTTTTAGTAGAGATGGGGTTTCGCCATGTTGGCCAGGCTGGTATCGAACTCCTGACTTCAGGTGATCTACCCGCCTCAGCCTCCCAAAGTGCTGGGATTATAGACGTGAGCCACTGTGCCCAGCTGTTACCTTTAATGGTTTTCCTCATGGTAGCGTAAGCTCCCCATTCACCTTTGCTTTTCCTCTCCAAAACTTTGCTTCTGCTCATGCCTGTAATCCCAGCACTTTGGGAGGCTGAGGTAAGCAGATCACATGAGGTCAGGAGTTCAAAACCAGCCTGGCCAACATGGCGAAACCCCATCTCTACTAAAAACACAAAAATAAGATGGTATAGTGTTGGGCACCTGTAATCCCAGCTACTTGGGAGGCTGAGGTGAGAGAATCGCTTGAAACCAGGAGGTGGAGGTTGCAGTGAGCCAAGATGATGCCACTGCACTCCCGCCTGAGCAACAGAGTGAGGCTCTGTCTCCAAAACAAATAAGCAAACACACATCTATATATTTCTTCAATGGAATAAGTTAAGATTTTGCATGTATATAACAATTATAGGAAGCCATAAAAGTGAATATTCAGAGGACAAGAAAAAAAAAAGGATGGAATGGAGAAAATAAATACCTGGAAATTCAAAATAAATGGAAATTTCAAGTGAAGGTTGAAAAATGAATGAAATTTCCCAGATAACTAGTCCAAGAGATCTATTATCTGAGCAACTGTTTCAAAGAGAATAAAAAAAGAGAGGAGAATCACCAATAAACCTGTGAGAAGTGATGGACATGAGTTGCCATATCAAAAAACCCCAATGAGTAGCCAGTATAATGGATGAAAACAGACTTATACTAAGGTATATCACTGTGAAACAGGAACAAGAAAAACAGTCTACAAATTTCTAGGGAGTGAGGGTAAGAGAGGAACAGGTCACACTAAAACAATTTTTAGGCTGGGCATGGTGGCTCACGTCTGTAACCCTAGCACTTTGGGAGGCTGAGGTGGGTGGATCACCTGAGGACAGGAGTTCAAGACCAGCCTGGCCATCATGGCGAAACCCCATCTTTAAAAAAAAAAAAAAAAAAAAAAAATTTTAAAAAGCTATCAGAATAATTTTAGACTCATCAACAGCTACAACAGAAGTCCACCATGGAACATGACTTCAGAATCCTGAAGAATTCTATGTTCAGCCAAAGTACAGGTATGATGCTTAATATTCAAGGTCCACAAAATTTTTTTACTATGTACTTTTTCCTCAAAAAACTGCTGGAGACAAGAAAGTGTCCCACCAAAGTGAGACAAGAAACCAAATAAGAGGAACATAAAGGGCACAGCAAATGGAGGGGTGGAACACAAAAGTCAATGAAAGGATCAGGAACATGGTAAAAGGGGATCCAGGGAAGACAAATATTTACCATATACAGGGCAACAGTCCATACTAGAGCAATGAGACTCAGGTGAATGTGATTGGAACCATATGATTTAAAGGCTGTTATGATCAAAATGCCTATTATTCTACCTTTTCTTTTCTCTCTTTTTTTTTTTTTGAGACAAAGTCTTGCTCTTGTTGCCCAGGCTGGAGTGCAATGACCCGGTCCCAGCTCACTGCAACCTCTGCCTCCCAGGTTCAAGCTTCTCCTGCCTCAGCCTCCCAAGTAGCTGGGATTACAGGCACCTGCCACCACACCCCACTAATTTTTGTATTTTCAGTAGAGATGGGGTTTCACCATGTTGGCCAGGCTGCTCCCAAACTCCTGACCTCGTGATCCGCCCGCCTCGGCCTCCCAAAGTGCTGGGATTATTAACACACAAATACGCAAAACCCAAATGCTCAAGTGTCCAGTCCAAAGTTTTATCTCTACTTAACTCTGCTTGACCATGTGTTCATTAAGTTCCTCTTCTCTCCTTTATACCCTGCTAACCATATTAGATAATTTAATATCAAAAGAGTTCAGCTTTAATCTAATCTTAAAACAAGATACAAAGCAGCATGTTCCCAAAGACCACTCTCTTACTGAAGATTCTTTGCCTGCTCCACAAAGCAGCCTCAAAACTATAAGTCCTATGTTTCCTAGGACATGTTCATGATCACGCCCACTGATTTCCTCAAGGCTCTAGTAGAAATTACAGGAAGCTGAAGCCAAGCTATCAACGAGAAACAATTTTTATAAGGCTTCATCCAACAGTGGCAATACCGTCTTTCCCCGTATACACCATCTACCTTTTTAGCTTTTTCAAAATTAAACACAGCTGAAAGATATATACACAGAATATTGTAGAAAAAACAAAAAGGAAATGATTAATTCAAAAGTCAGCAAAGAAGATGGAGAAGGGGCCAAACATACGAGAATGCAATCATGGAATACTAAAAAAGCTGAAATGCTGCTATAATGTCCCAGGTCATGGTACATGGCTCTTCAGTTTACTACTCTAAAACCTGGCCAGGTGTGATGGCTCACACCTGTAATCACAGCACACTAGAAGCCCAAGGCGGGAGGACTGCTTGCGCCCAGGAGTTTGAGACCACCCTGACCAACGTGGTGAAACTCCATCTTTACTAAAAATACAAAAATTAGCTGGGCATGGTAGCATGCGCCTGTAGTCCCAGCTACTCAGGAGGCTGAGGCACATACCTGTAGTCATAGCTACTTGGGGGATTGAGGCACAAGGATCACGTGAACCTAGGAGTCGGAGGTTGCAGTGAGTAGAGATCACACCACTGCACTCCAGTCTGGGCAACAGTGAGACTCTGTCTCAAAA